TCCTAGCACAATCCTTTACCATGTTTTAAGTTAGGATAAAAGGAAGCTGCATACCTACTGTGGTGGTTCTAACCAAGCCAAGTCTTATCTACAGACAGCCCCCAAACTGAAACAAATACTTAGCAGAAGCCACACATCATACCTCAGATACACTAACCCAGGAACCTACCCCTGCAACAAACCCCATTGCCAACTCTGTCTACACATAAATACAAGCTGGACAGTCTCAGGAATAAAGGATAAATGGACCCAAATCAGAAATCGTAATGCACATAAACCTGTATGGAAACATTTTAACTTGCCTGGCCAGTCAATCATGGATTTAGAAGTAGCCATTCTTCTTCCAAGGAATTTCACCAGCCAATTACAAAGAAAAAGTGCAGAATTGACATTCATCTACAAATTTCACACTGTTTTCCTGGTTTGAACAAATTACAAAGAAAAAGTGCAGAATTGACATTCATCTACAAATTTCACACCGTTTTCCTGGTTTGAACAAAGACATTAACTGGATGTTGCATTATAAAGCCAGCCTTACCTGGCTTTATAACACCTCAGTTTTACATCAAAAGCTAAGTATGGGACATCTCCCACTTAATTGGTCTCATTAGCACTGGTCTTATAATTGACAGGTACCTTTTTTCTGTTATAAAATTCTGGGTTTCTGTTATTCCTCTTCAGCTCATCTGATGAAGTGGACTTTGCCCACAAAAGTTCATGATACTATAAATATTTTTATTAGTCTTAAAGTGCCAGTAGACTACTCATTTTTAAAGTCACAAACTAACTTAGCTACCCCACTGAGGATACGTCTACACTTGCTTCCTAGTTCAAGCTAGGGATGCAAATGTAGCCAACCGAAATTGATAATGAAGTGGGGATTTAAATATCCCGTGCTTCATTAGCATAATCTCGCCCACGCGTTATTCCGCTCAACAGCTGATTTGAACCAGGAAGTGCACTCCGGGATGCGTTAGTTCGAATCAAACCCCTTGATTCGAACTAAAGTTACTCCTCGACATGCAGGTACTGGGTGTCCAATATTCCTGAGCTACATACAACTGTGATTGTAAGAAACAATAAAGAACTGACAGGCAGGTGCTGGTAAGGTATGAACTGGAACATTACTCATCACACAATAGCCAAGCAAACTACTCGCACAGATTCATGGAAATCAAAGACCAGATGTGTAGCACAATATGAACATTCCAAATTCTTCCCTGTCAGACATTTGTATTTATTAAACAAAGAAAATACAAATAAATAACATACCAATCATCACAAACCTTCTCCACAGGCTTGGCTTTCCTAGTGTTCTTCCCCTCAGGACTATTCAGCCCAAAACCTAGATATTCTCTTCCTCAGACCACTACTTTTCAAGACTGCATAATGCTTCATGAAAGTGGCATTGGCCGACCATGTGGCTGCACGGCGTATATCTTGAAGCAGGACCCCCGTAAGGAACGCTGTGCTGGCAGAGGCTTGTTGCGGATAAAGTAACACATCATAATACAGGTTATGATGAGTTTGGCAACACATTGGGAGAAAAGCGGTTCACCCTTAGTGCAGTCTGTTATAGAGAACAATAAACAGTTTGTTTTCCTCCTGTCTTTGGTCCTTTCTATGTAAAAGGTGAGCGCACGCCAAATATCCAACATATATAACCTGGCCTCCCGTGGCAAAACACGGGGAACTGGGTAGAATGAAGAGAGCATAACTGTCTCATTGAGGTGGAATGCTGAACATACTTTCGGAATAAAGGCTGGGTGAGGCCTAAGTATCACCTGTTCTTTGGTTAAAAGAGTGTAAGGTGGTGTTGACATCAGTGTCGCTAGCTCACTTACTCTGCAGGCTGAAGTTATAGCCAGGAGAAAAACCACTTTAAATGTCAGTAACTTAAGAAATGTGGTGACCAAGGGCTCAAAGGGAGGTTGGGTAAGGGTATCGAGGACTAAGTCTAAGTTCCACACTGGTGGTGGAGGTCTACGCAACAGGTTCAAGTTCATAAGACCCTTGATGAATCTTTTCATTGCTGGGTGCACAAAAACCGACGTGCCCTCTACTGAGTGATGGAAAGCGGTAATTGCCACTAGGTGTACCTTGAAGGATGGAATAGAAAGGCCATCACGGCTAAGGTGCAGAATGTAGTCGTCTATTCAGTGCATACGTGACATCTCGGGGATGACCCCGTTAGAAGAACATCATGATGCGAACCTGCGAAACTTGAACAGATAGGTCCTGCAAGTAGTGTCTCTCATGCTATGTAGGAGGACGTCTTTACCTGGTCTGAGCATGCATGCTCCGATTGGTTGAACCAGTCAGGAACCAGGTGGCGAGGTATAGGGTGTGTGGCTGCGGATGAAGGAGATGTCCCTGATCCTGCACTAACAAGTCCAGCAGGTTGGGCAAGACATATTGCGTCCTCAGGGACATCCTGTGTAGGAATGGGAACCACAATTGCCTTGCCCAGGTGGGGGCTATAACAATCACTGTGGCTTCGTCCATCTTGATTTTTGTCAAGACCCTAGATATGAGGATGATGTGAGGGAAAGCGTAAAGAAGCGGGTCTCCCCAGTGCAGGAGGAAGGCGTCCTCCAGAGACCCCTGCCCTATACCCGCTCTGGAGCAGTAGCGGTTGCACTTCACATTTTGGTGCGTGGCAAAGAGATCTATGCAGGGAAAGCCCCAACAGCAGAATAGATGATGTAGTACATCTGTGCAGATCTCCCATTCATTGTTAGGTGCAAAATGCCTGCTCAGAGAGTCTGCCATGAGGTTGTTGGTGTCAGATAAGAACGATGATATTTGTAGTGGGGTGGAGTGGCCACTCACTGACCCAGAGGCAGAGGAACCCCTTCGGGAGCCATTTTGGGCACAGCATAGCCCCTCCCCATCACCTGACCAAAAGTCAGGGGTCGGGGCTCAGACTATAAGTAGCCAGGCTGAGAGCTCAGTCTGGGCCCAGCCTCTGGAGAAACCAGAGACCTACATAGAGCTCCCTGACTGGGAGGCCGAGACCTGGCTCTGGCCTCCAACTCCCTCTAATAGGTCCTTGGAGTCCTTTTTTTGCTCAGCAACTTTGGTCTCTCCCCGCCCCCTTTTTTTCCCCTTCAACAGAATATTGATGGCCCACCCTGAACCAGGGTCAGGGCCCTCCTAATTAATGGTTTATGGCCCCTGCCTGAGACAGGTCCCGGGCGTACTTAACTTGTGGTTGTTTGTTTGTTGCCCCGTCCATTAAACTGCTAAACTGCGTATTTGTTGCCCCACCCTGACTGAGGGCCAGGGCCTCCTGAGCTGACTCTGTTTTCTGCATGCCCTGTCCAGGGCCGGGGCTTTGTAACTGTTAAAACTGAGGTGGACTATTTGCCTCTCGCCCCGACCTGAAGAAAGGCTGGGTCGTGGAACTTTTTACTTGGGGATTATTTTAAGTGACTGTGCAGTGAAGCGGAGTTGCTGCCCTCTGACCCGGAGGCAGAGGAACCCCTCCGGGAGGCCTACCTGGCTTACACTAATAAGGTGATATCGTTTCGAATACACCAATTCCAGAGCTGGACTGCTTCTGTACAAAGGGACAGAGAATGTGTTCCACCCTGGCGATTGACATAATACACAGTGGCGATGTTGTCGGTAAGAATACCTATAGTCTTGCCCTGGATATGTTTCTGGAAATGTCTGCAGGTATTGAAAAGGCATTCTTTATATCCAATCACCTGCCTTATGGAGTGGCTAGAACTACTTCAACCATTCCTAGTAGGATCAATGCCAGCAAGGCAGGATGTTTCAGGCAAACAACCAGTTACAATGTCACACCAACTTTGACTACCATATCTACATACAACTGGCCATCAAAATTATCAACCTGTGTGCTCAGAACTTCAAAGAGAAGAACAGCAGAATTTGGCTTTGGTCAATATGGCCGTTGAAAATTATATTTTTCTCTAATTAAACATGATTCTAAAATTAAACAAACTTGTTGGCATCATTCTGCAGCTCTCTACAGCAAGGCTGTATATTTTCTGGGGGATTTAAATGTAACAGGAAATGTCTTTGTAATATATTTGTTTCCATATCTGTTTAGACAGTTAAGAAAGATCACTATGAGTTATAAACTATTTTTGGTTATTACAATTATATTAATTTTAATTTTGCATTGCTTCAGAATCACTACTAGTTACCTCAATTTCTTGCTATCAATAGAGAAGACCTGTGAACCTTGCCTGTTTATTATATGAGACAGAGCTGAAAGTGAGAAGCACCAGTGATGACTCTTGCAAAAATCTGCCAATTACATGGTAAAAATAGGCAGGAAATGCCTACACCATGCCAAGACATTTTCCTAATAGAAGCCTATGGGGGGAGAGGGGAGAGAGAACGAATCCACACACGTAAACAAACAATGGCTTTAAAAATATTTGAAAAATGTTGGATCATTTGAAAAAATGCTGTAGTTACTGCTGGTTCTTGTCTCATCTAGTGCATCCATCCCTCCTAAACATATGATACTATAAATACAGATTAACGCTACTGATTCCTGTGGTATCAGTCTGCCACCTTAATTCGTCATGCCCCCCGCCTTAATTCAATGCTTATTGCTAATACTTTTTTTTGCTCTGATGGAAATATGGTAATTCATAGATTAAGTAGTAGGCTTATACTGTTTGCTTAACCAAGTGAATGCCTTTCTTTCTTGCTCTCTGCAAGTCTGACTCTGAATATTAAAATGAATGAATAAGTCCTGGAGATTGATTCTCAACCGCCTTATTCCTTGTCTCATTTCCCCTTGTGCGATGTGGGTATAAAAAAAATACCAAATCAGACTGGCAGTAATTTTACACACATTTTTCATAGGTGCAAATGTCTGCACAAAGTGCAAGACAACAGAAATCAGGCATTTGTGGTCTTACAATGCTGTGTAAAAATGCAAGTAGGAAATGGAAACTATCACTCAGAGTGAGAGACAGACACAGAGAGATGTTATGTCATTAGTTATGACTTACTTTTCCTTTGCTGGAAGCTGGGTCTCATATGTAGCTAGCTTAGGTTCCACCCCAGTAGGTTTTTGTATTCTTTGTCTCCGTTTTCTACTTGGTGCAACATCAGTAACATCTGGACTGCTGAGAAAGGAATCCTTCCTTGAGCTAACTGTCAAAGTGAAAAGAAAAAAGAGCCAAGGTTGAGAAAATGCCCCAGAAAGCAATGTGATAAAATAATTTTCCAGTTCTACATTTTTCTGTGACTCTTCCATTGCTGGCGGCATGTGCTTAGTTCCAGTGTTAATGGGAGCCATACAATAACTTACACGGCAGATTATACAAATGCCAGTTACTTACCAAGATGTTAGCAAAGGACTGGAGGTACGTCTACACTACAGGTATTTGTTGGCAGAGTATGCTAATGAAGCGCTCATTAGCATTTGTTGTGCTGTCATTTGCGTATCTCTGCCGATGCTTTTTGCGCAAGAGGTTTTTGTGCAAAAACAAGCAGTGTAGACAGGTCTGTTTTGCGCAAAAACCCCACTTTTGTTCAAATATACCCCTTTTGCCTCAAAAAAGGAGGTATACAGGATCTTCATTAGCTCTTCATTAGCATACTCTCTGCCAACAAATACCTGCAGTGTAGCCGTAGCCTAGGAGACAAGTTTCATGCATTCTAACCCTAGCTTTACCATTTTCTTGCTGTGTGGCATCAGGCAAGATATTTAACTTACCTGTGTCTCAGTATCCCCATCCATAAAATGGGATAATACACATCTAGCTCACAGGGGGATGCTGAAGATTAGTTAGCTCCTAGGCTAAACTTTTGAGAGCAGCTCCTTTCCTGACCATGGTCAAGAAGGAACTGGCTGGAATTTTCAGACACCAGCACTTCTACTCCACAGAGTATGATGTGCAATGACCAGTACTGAGTATGGGTTACATGCCATCCATCTCCAAAGGTGAAGAATTAGGGAGCTGCAAATACTACAGCAAGGCACTATGAGAAACATGCATAATAGTGTCTTTTAAAGAAACAGGTATTTGTCATGTGGTTCAGTTTTTAGATACGAGAGGAGCCAGTAAAAACACCTCAGATGAACTCTTGTTAACTTTATTGTACACAGAAAAGTAAAGGAAAGCAGTGCAAAGTTACACAGATCTATTTCAATACATGGGATAGTTAGCACAGACAGTATAACACTACCTTTCCCTAGGACAATACACAAGCTACTCACTTATAAGAATATGAATATACATATACTTATTCCTCTCTCACTCTCACTCTCACACAGTTCCAATTCTGTTACCCTTACGATTGTCAGACGGGAGGTCATGGCCTCTTTCTTTCCCCATGCGCAGAGGCATCCACAATGCATCGGGCAGTAGGAACTGGTTCACCTTCTTGTTGCAATGAGTAAGGTAGTGGGGACACCTTACTCAATCCCTCCCACTGATTAGATCTTCTACCCCTATATTTATAGCAAAGCGAGACTTGGTTGATCTACTAATCAACTACATTTTGTGTAAAATATCTATTATGCCAATACCTAAGATACATTTTGCAATGCCAAAATATTGCAAAAGCGCTTCATTAATAGTTTTTCTGGCTGTCTCTAGAATTTTTCTCTTATCAAAAAATGGGATGTATTAGTACCTGGTTGTTTCTGCTCTCTTTGGCCTACTATATTTATAGCAAAGCGAGACTTGGTTGATCTACTAATCAACTACATTTTGTGTAAAATATCTATTATGCCAATACCTAAGATACATTTTGCAATGCCAAAATATTGCAAAAGCGCTTCATTAATAGTTTTTCTGGCTGTCTCTAGAATTTTTCTCTTATCAAAAAATGGGATGTATTAGTACCTGGTTGTTTCTGCTCTCTTTGGCCTAGTCTCACTGTCCTGTACAAGTTCTGCATAATTGGGCAAGCACTCCTGACTTTCCCCACCCTTTCTGGCCTGGCCTGCATGCGTGCATACGTGTGTGCCCAGGCTCAAGTCAGACCTAAGGTGGCTTGTTAGACATCCATACTTTGGTCAAGGCCGGAACAAGGCCTAGCACTGCAGACTTTGTTCTGGTCAAGGGAGGGCTGTCCAGGCTCCCCTACAGTATTACAACCTCAACAGCACAATCATACACATACCACCAATTCCTCACCCATGTATCATTGCAGAGAGGAGCCATCAGTAGCTCAATGGTACTGCTGGGATTTTCATGAAGACTCATCACTCTAAAGTGTAGATATAGCCTTTATGCAGCAACCTAACCCCACTCTCTCCCAGAGTCAGAGTTTGAGACCCATCCTTGACTGACAACATCAGGGGAGGCAAGGAAGGCCCCTTCAATGTGCTAGTGCAGGCAAAGAAAACCGACAGCTAGGGAGAGTTGGGATACACAGCCCCAAGACAGTATCTCTTGCTGATAGCTTCAAAACAGACCTACTTGTCAATTCATTGATGCAAAGAATTGCATCCTATTCAAGCCACCAAGAGAGTAAGAGTGAATGTCAATCTGCTGTCCAGGCTCCCCTACAGTATTACAACCTCAACAGCACAATCATACACATACCACCAATTCCTCACCCATGTATCATTGCAGAGAGGAGCCATCAGTAGCTCAATGGTACTGCTGGGATTTTCATGAAGACTCATCACTCTAAAGTGTAGATATAGCCTTTATGCAGCAACCTAACCCCACTCTCTCCCAGAGTCAGAGTTTGAGACCCATCCTTGACTGACAACATCAGGGGAGGCAAGGAAGGCCCCTTCAATGTGCTAGTGCAGGCAAAGAAAACCGACAGCTAGGGAGAGTTGGGATACACAGCCCCAAGACAGTATCTCTTGCTGATAGCTTCAAAACAGACCTACTTGTCAATTCATTGATGCAAAGAATTGCATCCTATTCAAGCCACCAAGAGAGTAAGAGTGAATGTCAATCTTCTGTCTGCTCAACTTAACACAGAGGCTCCTGAAAAAGCTCCTTTTCATTCCCCCAGAATGGCCTCTCTCAAGATGCAGGAACTCCATTGGCTGCAGTTTGAGACAGTCATGTAAAATTGCTAAAGAACAGAAAGCTACCAAATTCATTTGCAGCTTTTTTTCATATGATGCACTGTTTTCTAATACTGAAGCATAAACCAGGGCATCAGATTTGGCCTAGAATTTATATTAGAAAACACCTAAAATTCCAAAAGGAGTCAAAGTTTAAGGACCAACAAACTATAACATTATAGAATCTGACCTCCACAAACAGGCTATAGACTGTCAGCTAGTTATTGAACCAAAAAAATTGGATTTGACCTATGCATAACTTGTTTGGTGAAAGCATATCCTCCAGAATAGGATTCAGTCTTGACACCAAGAGTGGAGCTCTACCACTTACCCTGTTAGATGGTCCCAATGATTAATCACTGTTACAAATGTGTACTTCGTTTCTAATTTGAATTTATCTGGCTTCAGCTGCCAGCCATTGGTTCTTCTTATGCCTTTCCCATCTAGGATAAAGAGCCCTTTCATATATAGGATTTTCTCCCCATAAAAGTGTTCATGAAAAGTAATCAAATTGCCTGAGTCCTTTTTTTGACAAGCTAAAGAGTTTGAGCTCTTTAGGTCTCTCACTGACTGGAACATATTTTCTCCAGCATTCCAATAATTTTTGTGCCTCTGCCTTTTCTGAGTTTTTACCCATTTTTAACATCCTTTTAAAATGTGGACACCAGAACCAGATGCAGTATTCCATTATCAGTCTTATCAATACCCTACACAGAGTAAAATTGCTTCTCTATTCCTTATGTATGTCAGGGCTGCATTAGCCCTGCCCTCCGAATCACACTGAGCTCATTTCAACATTTTTGGGAAAAAATTGGAACAAAATAAAATATTTTATTTTGTTTTGGCTGTATTTAATATTTGTCCATTCATTCTAGGTCAACTACAAAAGATAATTCCTCCCTCAACTCCAGCAGCTGATTGTTTAAAGTATTCAAAGATTCACCTCACGGGTTTTATTATATATCCGCACCTCACATGCCCACATTTTTCTGTAAGTCTTCATCAGTCTGCAGCACACTTTTATTTAACATGCATATTTTTAAATCTAAAGACTTGAATCCTCTTTCATTTTTAAGATAATGCTATCCAGAACGGCATACCTTTCAACTGAAATGCAACAAATAACAAGGTGGTGACGGAGAAGAGTGATGTTAAGGTAACTTCCCCCGGCTGTACCCTTCTGTTCATTTTCCGAATTCATTTGTGTATGGATGAAAGATGCGATTGAGAATGAGCACTGGAGATTTTTTACATGAAACGATACAATTAATTTAACATTTTTATGCCTCTCAAAAGTGCTATCCTTTCTTTACAAAAACAACACACAAATGAAGAAAACCTGAATACGGTTTTCACTCCCTTTGCTAATTTAATCTTGCAACTGAAATAAGTACAATTTTTTTTCATTATTTCTCTCAAAACTGTGGTTCTGATTCAGCAGAGCACTTAAGTACGTACTTACAATCAATAAATGAATAGTCTTATTTATTACCAAAAGGATTATTTACATGATTAAAATTAAACGCTGAATGCTGAAGTGTCTTTTATGAATTAGGAACTATAAGCTGAAAACAATGGACATTTTATTTAATTAAAAGAGAGTCACAGGCCCCTGTCTGGGCATGAATCTGGCATACAAACACATTTCAAAGTCCAGTATTGACAATGAACACTGTATTTAAACACATTTGACTTAAAAAAATCTATGCTCCGCCATGCCTCCATGCTTTAATTTGAGTAGTTTTGTATAAACTAGGCACACAATGCCTTTAATATGTACTAGACTTTGAAAACGTGCTAACTAGGATATGTTTGCTAACACATGACATCACACCTTAAATCTTCGTTATGATAAGGCTATAGAAGTTAATCCTAATAGTAAAATGGCAATAAAGCAACAGCAGCATCGCTACTATTTACTGATAGTATATACAGAAAAATATATTCAACACCATAGTAATCCCATCAGTTACTCCCAATCTCCTTTATTTACCAATTTGTACAAATTAATAAAACAGCACACCAGTGAGGCCTGCATATATAGTAAATTGGAATCAGGACAAGCGTATTACTGTATCATTTACATTCCATCCTCTGCTAGTCCCCTATCACA